TCCTCTCTTCAGACTCATTAAAGGTGCTGTTATGTTCTGTTACAGTTGTTTATACCCCTCCCCCAGCTACATTTGTCACCAAAGTGAAGCCTCGGGTCTCCAGAGCCCACTCTCTGAGTGAAACAGGAAGATCAATGGGATGCTCCCCTTTGAACATAATGAATGTCAGGAGTTCTTCTGTGATAGGTTAAAGTTGTACTTATCCCCATACACAGTAAGGAATGACTGGTGCTCAGTGTTACTCCTCGCTCCTTCCCCTCATGGTCCCCCAGCCAGGTGGGACGCCTCCTGGAGTTTTCAAATAACTTGAATCCACTTATTAAATACAAAATGGATCAAGTGTGTAGACCAAAATGCACTTACCTTTATGGGGCCTAGAAAGAGAGGCATTATGGAAGATGTAACAATACTTGTTCTTAAATGCCTTCCAAAGAGCTCCCCGTGTTACTGCGACTTCTCATTGAAGGACTTCAACCCCGAGAGCCAGGAACCTGCAGTTTGCATTGTCTTATACTAACAAGACTGTGAATCAGTTTTATTAGATCTTTGTTCTTCTGTGGGTTTTTATTTTTATCTTGACAAGCACTTCATACTCCTTTTACTCTCATTAGTCCCTTCCCTGTCTTAGGAATTCTCGCTCCAAATGATTGTATTTATGTTTTTAGAAGAGAAAAGGAACGACAGAGAAAAAGACTCTGGTCGTTGCCAAATGCAGCCGGGATTTCTGCAGCGGCCGGTTTCACCGCTTTAGGAGCTTGGTTTGCTGTCCTGACCTATCTGCTGGAGGAGACCAGTCCACAGTGAAAATCGAAGGACAGTTTCAAGTTCTCACCAGCTTACTTATGTCTTTACTCAGTATTTATTCTGCAGAATAAATCAATAAATGTTATAGGAGAGATACTAATGATTCCTTAAAATATACACAAGTACTATTAATTTCAAAATTTAAAATTAGAGTTTACTTAGAAAAAATTATTTAAATTTGGAAATAGCACAGAGTGAAAAATAAGTTTTTACTTAAGAACTTTAGAATGTTAAGGTAAAGCATTTTCTTAGTTTAAAAATCTTTTTAAAATATGAATTTAAAATATCTGTATCAGCTTAATAGTTACTTTAAAATCCCCTGCTACCCCCATACTCCTTCAGTTCTGATTTCTAAAACAATTTCTTTTAATTGTGAAGTTTAACTTTGCCTGAAGTTCTTTCAGTGTGAGCATGTCTGAGTTCATTTTCTACCTGATTAAGAACACCATGTTCCTTAACCTGTCAACAGCTCAGTTGAGCAGTCAGACTGTATTATTCAATATCTTGTGTGACATGAGGACAGAGTCCAAAGGGAAAGATATCACAGATTGGTGCCACACTTCGGTAAATAGAGACATTTTATTTTTCACCAAGCTAATTCAATCCAGTTCAGTTAACTCTTTTTCCCCCCTTAAGGAAGGATCAAAAAACAGCGTGAATGCCTGAGTCCGTCATCTGTGTGACACGTCAGTGTGTGACTATAAAGCCGACCACGAGGGAGGGGTTCCGCCTTTAGACTTGAGACAATGCCCCATACAATTGCCCTGAGCCCAGACCTGCCCTGGGGATTGCTGAGTGGCAGAGGGCTCCGGTTACAGGCAGGTAGGATGGGAAATAGTGGGGCTCGCTGCACCCGGCACGGCACCCTTTTCCCTCCCCGCTGCGACCTGTTCAGTCTGATCTTTCTAATAATTCTCAGGCGTGCTTCAGGCTGTCACTGAGTTTCACTTTAGCTCCAGAGGCCACAGCCATCGGACATTACGTATCGCTAGTTTTATGATCTTGATAAAATCTTTGTCCTACATGTCTGTTTCTTAAAAGCCCTTATCCCAATAAATCTAATACCAGTATTTCTATTTCTCAGTTCACCGATTTCTTCCTGAGACATACTGCAATTTATACAGTCTTAATATTGTTTATTCTTCAAGGATGTAATGGGATGGATAATGCTACTGCCCATGAAATGTTTAAATAACATTATGAAAGAAGACTGAAAGTACGAAACATTGTCGCCCGATGGATCAGGTCTAAGAGCCTCATCTTTGCATCAAACCCTTCAAGGGCTCCTCCCCCTGCTGCCTTGTGTTCCAGTCTCTTTGATGTCCACTGTGAACACCGCTTTCTAGCGGCCCCAGGCTGCGCCCTCTGTTTTGAGAGTCCTCCCTCTCTGGCTGCCAAACCGATTCTTCATGTCATTGAAAATCCTACTTCTCCATGGACTCAGGCCTTCCTGGACCAATTGCTGCAAAAGGGCACTTCTTTCCACTACAGGGTCTGACAGTGTCACTCACAAGGGTGCTGTCCCCAACCTCCCCCGAGTGCAGCTGGATGGATCATGCGCTTGCCCAGAATGCTGTGAGGTGCACTTTCTGGTCAACCCACGTGGCTGGTACATTCAGGGCTTCGCAGTGTAACCCATGCTCACTGTGGGCAGGGGCCAGAGCTGTGACTGTGCCACAGGTAGGAGGACAGGTCCCAGAGCCAGACACTCCATTGCCAACTATGACCACACACAAGTCACCACACCTCCTTGTGGCTCTCGTGTCCTCATTTTGAAAATGAAGATGATTATATCACAATAAATATAACACCAGGATTCCTATTTTCTGAATGTACTCTGAATGTAAAAGCTTATTTTTTTACTCTGTGGTATTTCTACATTTAAATAATTTTTCTAAGTAAGCTAATTTAAAATTTTGAAATTAATACACTGAAATACGTTTTAAGGAATCATTATTATCTCTCCTATAACATCCACTCTTGATTTATTTTGTAGAACAAATATTGAGTAAAGAAACAAATAAACTGGTGAGAACTTGAAACTGTCCTTCAATTTCTCTGATGTACAACCTACCTTAAGGGTTGTGAAGATTAAATGAGTTAATTTTGGGAAAGTGCTTAGAACAGTAGCTGACACAGTTCGAGTGCTATGTAAATATTTATTAAATAAAATAATATGTTGAACATGTCCTGTCTGCCAGTCACTGTGCTAAGTGTTTGACATGCTAACTAAGTCAGTCTTCACAGTCGACTTGTATGGTAGATCCCCATTTTACAGAGGGAGGAACCCAGACAATCAGAGTTAAGTAACTTGCTCAAGGTCACACAGCAATTACAGGGCAGAAGCAGGCTTGAATTCACACCTCCTGGTCCCAGGGCCCTCAACCGCTTCTCTGCTTGTACCCACTGTGCTGTACTGTGAAACCTGAATGCGGGCATTTTGTCTCGGAGCTGGTCACAGTCAGATGGAGAGAGAGGCAGCAGAATGTGTTTCTTGACCTGTTGGAAGACCGCTCGCTGTGAGATAATGGCGCAAGGAGAGGTTAGTCCCCCTGGACCCTGATGTTGACCACATTGGGTTGAGAATCCGAGAGGATGGGAACCCCATGTGTTAGCAGCTGCTACCATGGCAGCCTAGGCGGAGGACTACTCCATGATAATGTCTTTTTGGATTTTGTTTTGTTGTTTTTTTTTAAGCCACTCTTTTTGTCAGACTCGTGAGACTTTCCGGTACAGTGGTCTAGTCTGGGACCATATAGAACACAGTAAAAATGATGAGATACAGGCAATGAGTCAGCCGCCTCTGTCTGTAAATGGTGCATTATAGGTATTTAAAACATATTCCAGTATTTTCTGCCAAATCACCCAGCTCTACTGAAATGCTCAGTTTACCCATAGGAGTCCTAGCTAGAGGTCAGCCACCAGTTCTGAAGCGAGCACTACAAATCTTAGTCATAACAAGTGAAACCTTGGCTCTATGAGAAATTCCTTTGAGGTGGCTGTCCATGGCCTGTATGCTCTGTAGATTTACAGCTCGGGGTGTGTACCTGTAATAATAGATTATTTTCCGGATGTTATAATCTAGTGTCCAGACTGCGTGCACACAGTCCAAAGTTTTGAAAGTGAATTTCTTCAAAGGATTCCAATGATTTGGCTGATAAAGCACAGATAACGTGAAAAATATATTTTACTGTTAAGTCTTTTGGGGGAGGTATAAAAAGGCTCCGAGGACAGTCATGCTTTGTAGTGGTTAGCAAGGCTAATACTCTTAAGTGCCGGGTAAAAATTAAACTTGAATAGCAATGATGAAATATTGACTCATCAGATGGCTTTGAAGTTTAGCTTCTTTTTGGTTGCAGTGCCCTTCCTAATGGACATGTTTCAGAGAAGAAAGTGATGATAGCACTCAGCCGGGATGTTTTCTTACCCTCTGTACAGAAGAAATCCTTTTTTGGGGGGGGGGGGGCC